TATATCCCTGTGATTGTTTTATACTACAAGCATTTTTTAACCATTTAGTGTTTTGATGATTTCTTCCTGTGTTTCTTGTGAAGAGAATATTAAACCTCTTGCTCTTTCCTTGAAACTGGGAATAGCTCTGTTAGCCTATTAAAAACATGAGCATTCTGAACCTCTCTGCATAATAACAGGTGATAATAATCACCAAAAGGTTGGTTTAGCTCTTAATATGTTCAAATTTAATTTAAATTTTGGAATGATTACTACAACAGATTACATTGCAATTATTGACTATTTCCAACATTTTGGTCCAGGCCATTAGATCCCAAAGTTCTTTGCTTCCCAGAGAGCTGATTTTTGACTGTGGATGTCTAAGCCTTTAAAACACCCACCCAAAGTCTGAACTGTCATAGTAGCTGGGTGAGAGATAAAGGGTAAGAAAAGTATCCAGTCATCCAACAACATTTCTGCTTTTTTTTTGTACAAGTTTCAAGTGAAATACAGTCACTCAATAAAGTCCTTCTGTTTCTCTTTCCCTCCCTCCCTTTCTCTCTCCCCATTCGCCTGGAGAGGGGAACCCTAAACCCTGGAGCCCTGCCAGCAGCGCCAAAAGAATCTCTTGACCATTTTCCCAGGGAATTCCTGCCTTAAATGTCAGCAGAGTACAACTCCCAGCCAAAGCAGAGTCCGCCTGGATCTGAATCAAGGAAAATGTGCCTGCTGTATACCAAACGGGAAAACCTGGATCCACGGGCCGGGGACAGGGGCAGGGGTTTAGAGAAAGGATTTAGAGGACCATTGGAAAGGTTTCCTCAGACCCTCCTCACTGAAGAATGGGAAGCTAAGTTAAACATTTGGTTCTTTGCTGTTTTTTTATTGTTATTTTTGTTTTACTCTTTTGGTGGTGAACTATACTCCCAGAAACCACTCTGAATTCTAATAAAGCAACACTTCTTTGATAAGGAAACAGAGCCACCATTAAAGCTCTTTGTTATCCTGGTGGTGGTGGCCGCGGTGCTGGCTGTAGTAGTCGCCTCTGCTGTTGTTGTTGTTCTCTTTTCGTTTTGTTTTGTTTTTTGCTTGTTTTTTATGAACATACTGGTACATAAGTGCTCTGGGGGGAAATCATGATGCTGCGATTAGTGAAAAGCAAAATCAGATTTATGAGTTGCAATGAATCTGCCCTACCAGCCTGGAGACACGCCCCGTCTGGTACCGAGGCACGGCTGGCACTTTTAGTGCTTTTGTTTTAGTTTCCAATCTCTAATCACGTGAAGAAATATTAAAAGTTCTGAGGGCGAGGGTGGGAGACAGTCCACAAATCCCAAAAATACACATTAGCACCAAAGGAAAACAGTATGGTATAAGCAGTCTAAAAATTCAGAAGTGAAGTGTGTCAGTCTGCTCGCTTTTGTGGAGCAAGCTTGTAATTTGCATGTACCCACTTTTATTTTCCTGATATGTTACTGACCTACCGTTTCACAAAGCTACTCGACTCCACGCTCAGAAGGTTGCCTAATGTAAGTGGCTGATTTAAAATCAACGTGCCACGTTACTATCTTCCTCCCAAAGATCACAGGACTACTCAGTAAGAAAGTCAAGGAGATTTCATCAATAAACTGTAATTCTGTTTTTTTTTAAGTGAATTAGGCCCTTCCAAATTTACTAATGGAACAAAATTTTTAGATTCCAAATATCTTCTGGCTCTCGGCCCAGGAGAGTTCAAAACAGATCAACTTAGAAGCTGTTATTCATGGTCACTGGGGGTCCCCACCTCATCTTGCACCCAAGGGTCACCAAAGCGCATTAGAGCCACTTTCTTCCAGTGTCATATCCTGCATGCATCGTCATAGACAATCCTATTAGAAATTTGTGTCCCTATTCAAAGAAAAGCAAGTCAAGTAGCAGGCAATATCGAATAAGAAAAACTACCTCCAGTAGGTGAAGGGTTAATCCCTGGTCAATTTTAAGCCACTCTGCTGAGAGTACTAATAAGTGTATCAGTTGGTGCCAGTGAGGGTGGTCCTTCTCTTGATGGGAACAGCCATCCCTTAGGAACTGGACTGTCAACACATTCTACCAGGGCCCAAGCAGCCAGCCAGAAGAAAGGGAAAGGGTCTGAGAAACTGTGGTAACCAAGTTTTGCTGGCGCTTTATAAAGCGGTGGCAGGAACTGCCAGAGCCATGGAAAGAATGCTAATGAGCCTAGGGCAACTTGCAAAGAGTGGATCTGAAAAAGATCCCCCCACGACCAGCAGCCCTAGGGAGCACCTCACTTTCTGGCTATGACTGCAGGTTTCATTCACAAGGAAGACCCTGAACACAGCGGCATTTTTCCTTGTATTCATCAGCCTTGCAAACACTTCTGACTCAGTGTTCCTAGAGTCAGAGCAACTCCTCTAGCATATCTGCCTAGAAAGTCAAAGTTCTCAAATTTTTTAAAAAACACCTTGCACCTTTAAAAAAATCTCATTCTAAAATCTGAATGGTAAACAGTTTTAAGAATCAGTATGAACTGTTGTAAATGTTCTTTGTGGATTCACATAAATTCACCCTTCCCCCTCATCAGAATTTATTCTGACTTCCAGAGAGCATATTTTAAGAAGGCTGGAAATCCTGATGGACCGTCATCTTAGCCACATTCTTAAGGATGTAAATCTCATCTTTGCTTTCTCAAAATGCTGGAAACAGTAATGAAGTGCTCTGCTGAAATTCACACTCAAAATTCTAATTCATCTTTCTAATGAGAGCTTTTCAACCATTTCCAAATGAGACAAGAAAACAAAAAAATTGTAACTGTGATGGGAAAACATAACAGCCTTTGTTCTTTTCTCTTCTGGATATCTTCCTTACCGCACTTCATTCTTAAAAAACACTCTGATCTGAAATTAGATGATGAGGCAGGGCAGGGATGGGGAGGACCCCATAGAAAGATGGGAGTTATCCAGTTGTTGGGTGGAGCAGTGAGTTTATAAATGTTCATGGTATTATTAAAAAGTAATTAATTATTATTAAACAAGAGAGCCATATATGCATCAGTAATGACAGACTGTTGTAAATCCAAGGTTATGATTATTCCAATTCTAGGCACCTGAGGTCCATTTAAAGAAAAACAGTTAAGATAATAAGGCAGGCAGTTAATTCTCAGACCTGACAGAGTTCACCCACCTCTTTAGTCGGAAATGCCTTCGTGGACATGCAGGCTGTGCGATCGCACAGGGCCCCGCATTTAGAAGGGCCCCCCACCTTGTTTAATTGCCTGTTATTGCAATCTTGAAATTCTTAATAATTTTTGAAGAAGGGGTCCTGCATCCCTGTTGCCCTGGGACCCCACAGATGATGTCAGTCCTATCCTTAGGCTTCTAGATGTAAATTTACCTACAGTTCCCAAAACTTTTGTCCCTACTCAATCTTTATATTTTTTTTTAATTTGCTACTTCTTACCCAACAATTATTATTAATATAACAACCAGGTAAGCCTCCTGGAGAAGTCTTATTTCCTATTTTTGCTTATTTCCTATTATCCATATCAATGCTGCCCAGGCTACAAATGGACCTGCAGCTATCTATTATGCTAAAATGCCACTTCTCAGATGAAAAAATTTTTTTAAAAAGCCATTGAATTTTGCTCCTCAAAAGGAATGCACTGCAGCCTCTCACTTCATCTCAACTGCTGAATAATGTAAATCCGTGTTCTCATAGTTGCCCAATTTCAGCTACAACACACAACCAAACAGGACAAATCTTCAGCAATTCTTTCTGGTATGGACAACTGAGAAAAAGATTTAAGGAATCCTCATTTTCAAAGATGCCAGCTAAAGAAACATAATGTAAGCATTTCATGTTCCTGAAATGCTCTGTGTCCATAGTGATCAGGTTGAGAAAAGTTATTGCAAGTTCAAATATAACTTAGCGATTGCCACATGGGGCAGAATCTTTCCACCCCTCGACTCCAAAAACCCAATCAGACAAGTGGCCGTAATCTGACTCCCAGTGCACTGGGAGCCACGGGCAGGCAATGAGAGCCGCACTCTGGCCAGGGAAGGCATGAGTGACAGACCCGCAGCGAGGCGGTGGGGGTAAGTCCTTCTTTGCCTTAAGGGAGCAATGCTCTGGGCCAAAAGATGAAACTCTCACTCTTTGATTACAGAGATTTGTGCCTACAGGAGGAAACGTAGGGCAGGTGGGTGGTTCTCTAGATCAGAGCACTGAGCGTATTCCTAAGAGAGGCAAGAGAAGGAGGAAGAAAAGGGATGCTTTGTTGCAAAATCCTCCATACACATTCAAGACCTGTGGGTGGGGGGGGGCGGTTAGGGGGAACAGGAAAACGATCCTATGGAGGTAAATCTATCTGCAGTCATTTTTATCAGAAATATTACTCACTGCTGGGCTCAGCCGCCTGGGAGTGAATCAGGCTGGGTGTTTAGCTAGAAAGAAATGCATCCCTTTCGGTACAATCTGGGCACATCAACAAGCCCCCTTTGTTCCGGGGCAAAAGAAGCAAAACAAATGGTGTTGATGCATTTCCAGTAAGCGTGAACATGTGAAGGAGCATTGACAGTAACAGCAGGGGGCTGAGGGAGCACCTTTAAAACCACAGGTTTGCATATGGTGCCAGGAAACTTCGGGGCTACAGCCCACTGAGGCCCATCACTCTGCTCTGGAGGGAGATTAGATTGTGTGGGTTTTCAAAAAAAAGCTAAATGCACTCTTAAGGAGTATATCTGTTTCCATTTTATGGTGGGGAGCTGTTTTGTTTTTTGAGTGTGTTGGCTGATGAAAATTTGAAGCTGTAAGAGGAACTGAGTTTCTTAAATCAGGTCCCTGGAGAGCTGAAGAGGTAGACAGATAGATGTATGAGAGAGTAAGTAGCGAGAGAGTGAGCTCAGGAAACTGGGGAAAGTGAGGGAAGAAGGGGTGTAGCAGGGAGGCGGCCTTTTCCCACGGCCCGCCCCTCCCGGTGATCTCCTGTGCTCCTGAAAAGGGACCTGCGCTTCTGCCCACCCCTCGTCCTTAGCTTTCTGCTCGGTCCGCTTCCTTTTTCCCACTAAATCCCGCCGAGGACGACCAGCACCTGTGATAGCACCTTGCCCCCTTGCCATCCCAGCTAGAGCCGTGGGTTGCTGGTGAGTTCCAAAGACACCCTCATGATTTCTTTTCCAATTTGTGAGTTGATTGAGTTTCTCTCCCTTTGGAATATTTTTTAAATGTCTCTCCCAGGGCACCTTCTTGGCCCCATTTCAAGGGCTGTTTTTGTCTCTTTCTTTTCTCTTCCTCTAGGGAACGCTATGTCATTGCCCTCCCAGCTGGGTCTTTTTTGTAATTACATGATTCATTTAGGGACGCTTGGGACAGACCTGGCTCTTCTCTCTCCTTCTGGAGCCACCTGGGCTTGGGCAAAAAAATGGGTTTCTCTTTCCAGCTCTGAAGGAAAGTCCGTTGATAAACCAGAGGTTGAGTGGAGCTCCTAAAGGTCAAGGGAGAGTTCTCCCAGCCCTTTTTGGCACAGCCTGTCCCACTGCCCATCCAGAACCAAGGCTGCTGGGGACACTGGTTGATGGGTGGGTGGGTGGTGCAGTGGAGATAGATCTCACTCTCAGTGATATATCGAAGGGTAGGCTGCAAAAACTCTCATCTATTAAAATGCTTGTCTTTCTTGCCTACCTCTTTTTATAGTCCCCTGTGATTAGAGTCTCTGCTAAACGCTGTCCATGCTCCTTCACCCTTGCTGCTATCACAGGCAAAAGTCTTGAGTCATAGGGAAACTGGGTAATTGTTCACCACCCTCCAAGAGGAATTCTGGTCATTTCTTTCCAACCTGCCATTCATACCCCCAAACCCCATCCCTTCCCAGCTCCAAAGATCTGCAGGCAGTAAGGAGAAAACAGGTAGGAGGAAGAAAGTGTCTTCACTCGCAAAGGCTGTCTTTCTGCTCCCATCCTCCCTCGCCGTCTTCCTCCTCCCCAACACACACAAGCTCCCCCAGCTAGAGGCACTCGAAAGTTCTCTTCTAAGGTCAAGCAAAAGTAAGAGAAGGCCACCAGGAAGACACTAGAAAAAACCCGCTTTCCACGGAGGCTTCTGTTGCCAGGACCTCCGTGTCCCTTGCCCCGCCCCCCTTTGCACACTCGCCTTCCCAAGCTTTGCCTCACTCGTCGTCAGCCGCATTCGGCTGCCCCGAAGGGTGGGCAGGGCGCCTGCGGCGCTGCTTGCATACTCCGGCCTCCAGGATCCCTTTGGGAGTTTATTTAAGGGTAACGTCAGGGGTTGAGAGAAGGTTCAGCACCAGGAAGGACTGTCCCCTAACACTGCAAAAGCACCGCGGAAGCCAGGATGCAGCTTTCCCAGGATAGGCTGCTGAGCCGTCTGGGGCGCGAGGAGAGGGGGTGCAAAGGTGGGTCTGAGCTGATGGGACGCTCTGTTTGTCCACCCGGCCACTGCCCGGGAGTCTGGCAGCCGCCTGGGAGTGGCGTTTCCTCCCCTACTCCCGCCCCCCCCCCCCCCCCCGGCCGCCGGCCCTTTGAGAGGCGCCTCGCGTCGGGACAGCAGTAGTGCACAGCGTCCCTCGGACTCCTCCCTCTGGTTGGGAAGAGGAAGGGGTATCCCCGTCTCTGCTAAGGGCCTGCACGAGCCTACCGCCCCTGCCTGTCACCATGAGATCCCCTTCCCCCAAGGAATCTACCTTGAGGAAAGACAGACTTCCAGCATTCCCGGCTTCCTAGCAAGACTCCCCTTAATGCAGAATCTCTCCTTGGGGAGAGTGGAGGGCGAATCAGCGCTCTGTAAACCCATTTGCAGAATGTCATTTTGAGCAATAAATTACAAAATTGAAGAAGACTTTCTTGTTTTATTGCTTTATGTTCAAAATATAAATGGCATATAAAAGTACATTGAAACTTAAAACGTTCTGGGGACTGCAAAGTAAATATATTTTATTCTTAATTCTTCAAAGAACTTGATTTAGACATTCTCTTTTCTAGTGACAATTCAGGTGATTTTCCAGTGAAACTGGAGTATCTTTTAATATAAAATCAAAGGAGCCTACAATAAAAATCTATTGACTAGTGGTTAAGGAGACTGTTAATTAATTAATTATAGAGATTTCCCAGAAGCCTTCTTTGTTGGTATGCAAATAACCTTTTGGAGGGTCCTCCCCTCAATAGAACAAGAGTACAAGCCTGGTGTCCTCACCTGATTCATAGACCTTGGTTTGGTAACTTCTGATGCTGATTTTGTTTTCTTTTTAGTAAGTGTGGACCTTTGTGTAGAAGAGAGAACATCATGGTGGCCTTCAAAGGGGTCTGGACTCAAGCTTTCTGGAAGGCAGTCACGGCAGAATTTCTGGCTATGCTTATTTTTGTTCTCCTCAGCCTGGGATCCACCATCAACTGGGGTGGAACGGAAAAGCCCTTGCCGGTTGACATGGTCCTCATCTCCCTCTGCTTTGGTCTCAGCATTGCGACTATGGTGCAGTGCTTCGGCCACATCAGTGGCGGCCACATCAACCCTGCTGTGACGGTGGCCATGGTGTGCACCAGGAAGATTAGCATCGCCAAGTCTGTCTTCTATATCGCAGCGCAGTGCCTGGGCGCCATCATCGGAGCCGGGATCCTGTACCTGGTCACACCTCCCAGTGTGGTGGGGGGTTTGGGGGTCACCACGGTAGCATCTTTAACTCTTATTTTCAAATTAGGACTTCAAACTTCTTGCAGACTCTACTCAGTGACACCCTCGTGGCCGGAAAGATCTTGCACATTTATTCCCAGAAAATTTCTGATGATTCTTGATAAGGGTGAAAACTGATTCTGGCAACATTGCATGTATCCATATGAAATCATTGTTGGTGCTATTGAGTGACTTGAATATTACTAAGTCTTGGTGGCACAAAAATTGTGTTGGTTTCTCTCTCTCGTCCCATACCACCCTCTCTCCTACCCCCTCCCATCCCAATGACCATACCAGCTATATATTTAGCATAAGACACTTTTTATTACAATTATTTGTTGGTTCACTAGCAGAAGAAACAATTTGTTTTTTGTCATGGTCTTGAAATTTTAAGTGATCTGTGTAGAGGATCACACTTCAAAAAGTAAATTGGCATTTGATTCCAGCTTGGTTCTTAGCTGATTAGGACAATCAATTGTTAGCTCAGTACCAGAGTTGATTTTAAAACACACACACACACACACACACACACACACACTCACAGTTTAAACTCTAATTGAAATATGTATTAATTAATGGATTTAATCATTGCCTTATAAAATTACAAGACTCTCAAGAAATTCTTTTATAAATTAAGTACAGTAGTGGCACATTTTGCTTCCATGGTAAGAAAAAACACTCAGCACAAACTCCTGATTAGTCATTGTAAGGATAATTAATTACCTATGATGGCCCAAAATAAGTAGAAATGTATTCCTTCTTTTGGGGGTGCTGAGGGCAGTGTCTCAGTTAGGAGTAGAAGACTCAACCATCAGGGTTTTTTTTTTATTTTATTACAGCTTACATTCAATATTATTTTGCATTAGTTTAGATATACAGCATAGTGGTTAGACAATCATGTACTTTACAGAGTGGTCCCCCTAGGATTTCAACTACACACCTGGCACCATACATAGTCATTACAATATTATTGACTGTATTCCCTCTGCTGTAATTTACAGCTCTGTGACTATTCTGAAACTACCAATTCGTACCTCTTAATCCCTTCACCTTTTTTACACTAGCCCCACTCACCTCTGTCAACCGTCAGTCTGTCCTTTGTATCTATGAACTGTTTCTATTTTGTTTGTTTATTTTGTTCTTTAGATTTCACATATAAGTGAAATCATATGGCAAACATCAGGTTTTACACTGATAAAATACCTTTCACAATGATATGTTATTATAGAAAACATATTCTTACTTCAACTCAATTGGAATATTTTTCTCTTTCTAGGTTCATGGAAATCTCACTGCTGGTCATGGTCTCCTGGTAGAGTTGATAATTACATTTCAGTTGGTGTTTACTATTTTTGCCAGCTGTGATTCCAAACGGACTGACGTCACTGGTTCGATAGCCTTAGCAATTGGGTTTTCTGTTGCAATTGGACACCTATTTGCAGTAAGTTTCCAAGTCCATTTAAATAATTGATCTATTTCATTTATCCTTACCTTGAAAATATTGTGTCTTACAGCTGTAGTTCTTCAGAATCTAGTCAGGTCTGTCCATTTTAGGTGATTATTTTACTAACTTTTCAATGAGAATGTTGATACAGCAGCTAGTATCTTGACAGTTCTGAATTCCTTGGTTAGTTACCATTGCATATGGTAGCAAATTTCAATGAATGCTACTTGTCGGTAGACCTGTTTCAGCAAAGTCTGAAGTTGTTTTCTTTTTTTCCTGTAGATCAATTACACTGGTGCCAGTATGAACCCCGCCCGATCCTTTGGACCTGCAGTGATCATGGGAAATTGGGAAAACCATTGGGTAACTATCATACTGAGGACAGTTGCCCATGGAATTCTTTTTCTTCATTATTTTGCTCACTAGTTTCTCATACTTCCTCCCAACCTTGACCCCCTACTTTATTACATCTTTCATAAAGGCTAGGGAGAGACTAGCACAGATCTGTTTCAAAACATCTCATCTCTTATCTGTTCTGAGCCTTCAATAATAGTCATTTTTTAAGCACCGCTCTGGGCACTGTATCTGACAGACTACAGCAGAATACATTGTACACGGAGGTTGCCTATATGGAACAAGTTAAAATCAGGACAGTGCAGTGAGCATAGTTTTTAAATAATTGAAAGTTAAGGCTTCTTGGCAATAACAGAAAATATACTTGCAAAAAAAGGTGAAGAAGAAGAAAAAGAATGGAATTCTTAAAAGCACTGCCCATAGCAAAAATATATACCTTTTTTGTTTATAAAAGCATGAACCTGGTTAATAGTATGGAAGTTGGAAGCATTTGAGCTGCAGATGGTGAGGAATAAATGGTACAAATGTTTACACTATCATCACCATAACCATAACTGGAAAAATTAATGGCTTTCAGAAAAAGCATACTTTCAGTCTCATGTCTAACCTACTTATTAATGTCGAAGCCATGCTTCCAGAGAGGAGTGGTAGCCATTTTTAAATATCATAACCAATTTTATTTTGATTGTTTCTTACAAAAAGGAATTTAAATTTCTTGAATGAGTACTGTAGAAACTATGAAGGCCACTCACATACTAACTTACAAAATCGATAAAAATATGAAACATGTAAGCTAGCCTCAAGCAAGGCTAAATATTATAGTCATTTATATGTTGTGAATTCTGTCTTATAACTTTCAATTTATGAATATAAAAGAATGTTACTTGTGTTTTACCCTCATGCAGCCAATGTTTATTGACCCAGTCACACCAACTCAACCATGCTATACATTGCAAATGAGAAGAAATTGCATCCCTGTTACGTGCATCCTGTTCTAAGGAAAGTGTACTGAGTTGTTAAAAGTAATCTACACCATCAAATCACAGCCTTTGAGTCAATGATCAAAGGCATGATTTAGGACCCAGGCAGGCAAAGAGACTCATTCAACCATATTGTTCATCAGATTGGTCATTTTGCCACTGATATTTCCAAATTTATGTCTCAAAAAACATGCCACATTAACAGGAATGGAGTTTATATGGATGATAAATATATAACTTTTAGTTTAACTTATTTAATTCAAACTACTTTTATAATTAAAATTTAGAAAAATGATCACTTAATTTATAAGGACTTTTAAATACAGATAAAAATATGTCTTTATTAATTACTTGTTAGTTGTTGTGAACTAGTGATGACTTAAAGAGTAGAAAAAGTCGTTGTTTGATGATTGAATCAAAGTTTCCCCTTCTTGTTATTTTATAACAAACTTAATTCTACTGAAAGTAAATGTACATTTTATAGCAATGGTGTGTGAAATTTAGAACTAAGTTAAAGTATATCTGCAGGTAGAAAGGGAGATAGATAGACTAGAAATAACACCAAAATATTACTGACATTATTTTAGTTTTCTTTTTTATACCTTTCTATATGTTCTATATTTGTAAGAATAAAAACTCTTTATCTTTATAGATTTTAAAAGTTACTTTAAAGTACATTGTGACTTTGTTTTGAAATAACAACTTGAAATTCAGATTTGTTTATTTCTGACAACAGGCAGCTGGATGTGTTACTTAAGGTGTTTGGGGGAAGCATAGTGACTGTTTAGCAGTCCCTAGTCTCCCCTGCGGAGCCTGTAGTGTGCGGTATAGAACATATCTGAGGAGATCTTACCAAAGGAACAAAGAGTAAAAACATTCAGCGGAGGTGTCCTTTGAAAGAGCGTGGAGAAGATAAACCCTCACGTGGTTTCTTTCATGTTCAAGATAAGAAACTTGGTTCTTGTAACGACTCCACCAACAGTTTTCCTGTTCAGTGCATGTGTTCAGCTTTGACTTAAAGTTTGAAATTTCTTTAGATTTTGCAATGAAGATTCTGATATTAATTTCCAGAGAGTGTTTGAAGCGAGACTCACTCATCACATTTTTTTTTTTCAAATGAGAGAAGTCTAGTGTAGTGGAAAGCAGTGTAATAGTGCAAAAGAGTGGTTTGAACGCAGACAAACCTGAAATCCCAGCTCAACCAGTTGGTAAGCATAAAACCTTAAAGCAAGTCTCTTATCTGCTTAGAGTGCCAGTTTTCTTACCCATAATATGGAAACAATAACAATATCTAGCTCAAACATTATTGTTAGAATTCAGTGAGTTGACTTAAGTACTAAGTACTGCTGACTCAGAGACAGCACTCAATAAACAAGGTTTCTGTTCCCCAAGTGAATCTGCTGAATGAATGTCTAATATTCTACAGCATATGTGTGCTCTAATGGAAATGTTGAAGTTTATTCAAAACTCAAAACATAATTCATTCTAGACACAAATGTGATATAATAAAAGCTTCCATTTATTTAATTAAAAATCCTATGGAGTTGCTTGGATTGAGTAGCAACTGCCTAGTTGCTAACCGTCATTCACTAACTCAGTCGAGGGTTTGTCACCAAGTGACCACTGTAGGAATCACAAGGATGAAATCACTCCGCAAGAACAGTGATAAACAAACCATGAGGTTTTCCATGAAATCCAATCACCAAATTTTAGATAGAAAAAGCATGTAACATAAATGAAGATGACTTATAGCCAGCCTAATCACATGCATTTTTAAATTGTCCAGGAAACATGGAACGGGGCAGGTTACTATGCAAATGGAACCATTAAGTATGTACTTTACAAGTACTCATTAAATTTCAATTCAATTTCAGTTTAATCCGACACCCCACGAGGTATGTGTTATTATAATCCCCACTATGCCGATGAGGAAATTAAGATTTAAGAAGTTAAGTAACTGATGCAAACACAGAAGCTAAGCAGTGGAGCTGGGATCCATTTATCATGCTGTATTGATTAACTAAAGCTTCAAACTATAAAATGTGCGCTATGATTTTGATCTTGATTAGGCAGAAAACTAATGTAAGGTGGCAATATTAAGAAAATAAGTAAGCATCCTCCAGAAATTCTTTTTTTTTTTTCTATTTTAGTTGAAGAATTCTTATATCTGCTTAATATGCAGTGCCACCAAAGAGAAGCTATCATTACTTTAAGGATTATCAGAAAATGAAAAGAAAGTAATTAACAAAAGGAAAAGAGGAAACACTCTTTTCTTGTTTTCTGCTCAAATGTCATTTAACAATGTATGGGTCTCTGATATGGATCTCATGTATTTTCTTTCTATAACAGTTTATTTGTATTGCATTTTTACCGTTACCGTTTATCCCCTTTACTCTTCCGCTGCCACTCGTCCCCCTGCCCCCACAACCCCCACACTGTTGTCCATGTCCGTGCGTCCTTTCTCCTTTGTGCTCAATACCTCCACCCCCCACCCCTGCCCCGAGCATCAGCCTGCCCTCTGTCTGAGTCTGTCTCTTCTTCCCATGACTGCTCTTTTTATGCATAACCGGTTAAACACAACCCACTCTTTACTTAAGCCAGCTAAATTCTATATTTATGAGTTATTCAAAAGGATAGTTTCTTTTCTCCTTAAACTCTCTAACTCTTCCACCTTTCCCCTAGATATATTGGGTTGGGCCCATAATAGGAGCTGTCCTTGCCGGTGGCCTTTATGAATATGTCTTCTGTCCAGATGTTGAGCTCAAGCGTCGTTTTAAAGAAGCCTTCAGCAAAGCAGCTCAGCAAACCAAAGGGAGCTACATGGAGGTGGAGGACAACAGGAGTCAGGTAGAGACTGAGGACTTGATTCTGAAACCTGGAGTGGTGCACGTGATTGACATTGACCGGGGCGAGGAGAAGAAGGGGAAAGACCCTTCAGGAGAAGTGTTGTCTTCAGTATGACTAGAAGAAAGCACTGAAAGCAGACAAGAACCCTTAGAACTGTCCTCAGATTTCCTTCCACCCATTAAGGAAACAGATTTGTTGTAAATTAGACATGTGCGGGTTTGTTGTTTCATGTCATTTCACTCAATCTAGATAATAAGTATTTCATTATTTACCAAGGAGGAGTGGAAGAAATCTATTGTGAATTCTAAATCTGAAAATGAAATCTCTTGAAAGTATCCCCAAAGCAAATATCTATCCAGTGTATCTAGTTACCACTCATTAATAATGAATTTAAAATGTGTATCAGGATTTGGTTAAGTCTTGCCTGAAAGAAAATATAGACAAACCTATCTGCTTATTCCTCCACTTCCAGGAAATTGGTATTGTCAGTCCTCATGGAGTATTTATTCCATTAAATCAAGTTTATCAATGGCAAAGTACAGTATGTCACAGAGTCATACACATTCAAGAAAGGAAATACAACAAGCTTTTTTTATGAACAGTCCCTTATTTATAAACTACCTCGGCATAAGACTATATTAACAAGGGTTATTGCTAATAAATTATTTCCACTTATACTTCAAATAGCAAACTTTAAACCCAAACTCCAAAACATAATATTCCTTCCTCCTCTTCAATGCCCAAGACAATGTGAAATTAAAACCCAGAAATTAGAAGAATGTTCAGAAACCCTGTATATTTATTAGTTCCACATAGGAAAGCATCCAAATTATAAGAGACACCTAGTGATATTCAGGACAAATAGATTCATAAGATCTTATGGGGGTGGGGAGAAAATTACGATCATACAAGAAATCATAAGGAAAGAGGAAATCTGAATTCTGGTATCAAATAGTTGTTCTGTTTTCAGTGCACACCCTTAAATCCACCACATGAGGTGAGCAATCTAAACATTTAACTGCTTAGTAACTTTGCTTATTTTTTTTAATTTATTGGCAAAACTGGGGATTTTGTTTGCTTGTAACTTTGGTTATCTATATTTAAACATTAGCTGAGACATATTTTTTTTAACAAGAACATAAGTAGGTGATCTGGACTTTTTGTTGATCATTAAGCTCTGTCCACTCTAGAAGGTGTAAACTAGTCCCACCCAGTCCCAATCTCTGAGGCTCTCTCATGTCTCATGAAATTAGTTGTTTATCTACACTGCTCATGTAATGATATTTTAATGAATTAAAATGCATGAGAAACAAGGAACAACATGTTCATAAAATAAAAGGTGAAGATGTAAGAACTTGCTGTATTCAGAGTTGACTAGATGACCAACCTTTCATTTGTAGTGATATTGTACATAACCCACACATTTTTTTAAGTATTTGCATTAATGATTCATTTATTTGTAAAAGTAGTTTGTTTTTCCTGTATTGCTTTGCCCTATGTCAGTACAATGGTATCAGGAAGCCCCAGTTTCTATCCTCTTAACTGGGTAGTCTAGCCTTTGTCTTAGACGAAGAGCTGCAAATGTCAATTTCATTGAACAAAAGCTAGTAGTAAAGTAAAATCCTCTCACTGCAAACAATGACTTGTAAATAGCTGATCATCAAGGACTTTCTTCTCTGATGCACAGTTCCAACTGTGCACCACTTTTTAGTGCTAATGGCAGTTGTGTGTCAATAGCAGTAAGATAATGGACCACTATTAAATCTGATTCTCTTCGGTGCTAAGAAAGTGAGTGACGTGTGAGATGCCCAGAAAGTGATCACACCGGTGTTGTGCCTGGGAGTGTCACAGGCACTTTTTTACAGCAGGGGCCAAAAGACATCCCAGGTCCCTTTCTCAGGGGTGCTGCTAAACACTCCCTCTGCCAGTGACACACATTGTTTCCTGTTGGAAGCATGTATAGGAACTAGGTGCAATTCTAAAGATGGTTTATGGCGCCCTTTTTTAATATTTGTATAATATACCACTAAAGACAAAATCGATGGTGGTTCTGCTCAAAAGATCATTTGAGGACATATCAGTGCAAAAATAGGTTAACAAGGAAACGTTAAGCAGATTTTCCCAATTTATGGGCTCATAATCATTTTTATTCAGCCATATGTTTTACTTCTTATAAATCACTTTTCCACTCACTTCCAGTTAGAGCATTCAATAAGTTAGTGTTAAAAAAAAGCATAAATGATATTTTCGTACTTCGTTTTTCAGTAGCTAACAAAGTGCTTGGCGCATAGTAGGTATTCAAAGCAAGTGTTAGTTAATAAAAATATATATATTTCATTTGGGATTTAAGAATATGAATAATTTCCTCTTAATCTTTATTTTGCTCAATATTTTAAAAAGCATGATTTCAAGGACTACTAAGGGAAGGCAATATAAATGTAAAACTGTAAAATATATTTTTGCATTCTACAATTTTAGAGGCATGAAAGCTTTAGCACTTTTTTTTTTCCTGCATGTGAGACAACATATTTTGTATTTCACTCAAGGCTCTGCCAGTAAAAAGTAATGAAATTGTACCTTTCTAATGACATCTATGCAGCAGGGGTCTATTGCCTTGTGGATGGCACCAAATTATCCAAGTGTATTAGGAGACTAGGGCTTTTCCTTTAATCCCTTCTTATTAATGAAGTGCCTTGTGCTGCTCCCAGGAGAGGGCCACTGACAGATACACAGAAAAGAGATCAGAGAGAAAAAAACTGGAAGGACATAAATGAATTATACCCAGCCAGGAAACGATGCCAAGCATCTCTTCCCGAAGGAAAAGTACAAGTGCCCCCAAATTGCAAGGTGGTCTCTTCCCTGAAAATGTGTATAGTTTACCACAGAGTTCCAAGTGCAAGAGTCATTTTTTTTAAGTTGTCATGGATTCCTTAATAATTTGGAGCCCAGATTTGAATGAATGTTTTCATTGTTGAAGACAACATTTTCCTCAAAGAGTCCTAAGTTTTTACTCTGGAAGGAAGTATTTTCTTATTGCTAGAGAGTTGCCTACATTTACGATTTCTATACTTTGTTTCTGCCATATGATACTTTTCATAAATTCTTATACTTTCTATAATCTGACAAGTTTTCCAATGAAGTTGATAGATGCTAGCTAGAGCTGCCTCTCAATCTTGAAGATTTTAGAAGATCAAAAATATTTGAATAACGTAGGTGATGGAATTAAGCTGTCAGATTAATTATAAGAGGAATGATTCCTAATTGCACAAAATATTCTTCTTACACCGTGAAACCAGATAACTCACTTACTGGTTTAAACTCCAAAATGAACAGGAAAATACCAAAAGAGAGTAGCAAATTCAAATGTTAAAATTAAATCTGGCAAGGCCCTTTGTTGCAACACATTGGCATTATCTCTACTTGTTGTGAACATTTGATGAAGAAATTGCCTTTGTGACACCTGAAGGTGACATTGGGAGCTCAAGAGACCACCTTATGAAACAATATAAAGCCAATATAAATTCTCATCAGAAGCTCTACAGGATATGCAAATTCAGAATATTTTATGCCTGAAAGTAAAAGTAATTCTGTCCTTCATGATATGTTTATGGCATCAAAATTATTAGGAAGATGTGGTTATTATTTGGAAACTATAACAAAACTCACGTTCTTTACCACAAATGTTATCTCTTTGCATTGGTATTGTAGTACTTTACAGATCACCCCAAACGGCAGTAACTTTTGAAGCCAATAATTTTTCTGAAATTTGCGTACATGGAAGACATTTAATTCAGGGCTCAAAATCTGTGGCTGCTCACTTTTGCAAATAACTATAGTTTATAAAATGTATTATCAAATAAATGTTATACAACATGTGCAATGAACATTAAATTTAAGAGCACTTATAGTGTTACTCGTGCATGTTAAAATCCAAGAGCTAAAAAGCATATTTAATTTATAGAACCCACTGGAATATATTTCTAGATTCTTTTCAGGATTAATTAAATAAACAGGCAATTTATGAAAATATATAAACAATTGTTTATCACTTTTATGACCCAAGTCACAATGAAATTGTAATTCATGATAAACTGGTGAGAATAAGCTGAACAGATGGTTATATTCACAATAATTTATTAACTGAAATGTTATTCCAGTGTTAGAGCTAATGTTAAGGAGATTTAAACTATAATGTCTAATATTTGGAACAATCTATTAAAGTATTAGCATTGTGGTTGATTTCCATGAATTATGTTGTATTTCATACTACTAAGCTTGTGCAAATAAACTTTTTAATGTTTTGAAAGGTAAGCATTGTGCTTGATGATGTTTGAAAATTTATCCATAGTTTTTGCAAGTTAAATTTTTTTTAGATTTTATTTATTTATATTTATTTTTAGAGACGGGGGAAGGGAGAAAAAAAGAGAGGGAGAGAAATATCCATCAGTTGCAACCAACTGGAACCTGGCCCAGAGCCCAGAAATGTGTCCTGACTGGGAATCAAACCAGCAAATTTTAGCCAGCATTCAATCCACTGAGCCACACCAGCCAGTGTGCAAGTAAGGTGTTAAAAGCATCCTTTAGAATGACCAAGAAGGTTTAGATATTTAAATATAATCAATATCAAATGAAATGTTGGTGAGATCCATATAATAAAATGGATTTTTGAGAACCTGCAGAGGGAATATACACTGTAGTAAGCTCTGATGTAGGGAGTGAAAATTAGGTTTTTGTGGGCTTAATTCTAAATGTCCACACCTATGCAAAATAGGCCATTAAATATCAGCTGTCATTATAGTAATTCTAAAAGTGAAGACAAACAACTGTGACTCAAATGAGATGGTATTGTCAAATAGATGATCTATCCTTATGGTTTTTGGCAGATTCTGCCTATGTAGATGGATAATAAAAGTACAATGAGTACTGGTTTACTCCCTTGGGTTCCTGGTTTGAGGGGCTCCTCAGTTTTGATGGGAAAGGATTGAGGACCGTCGTCTATGCAGTGTGTGACCCATTAGATAAGGAATACGTGATGCCTTTGGAGCCAGGTGGATATGAACTTCTCTTATAGCATTTGTCATGTTGTAGTAAAATTATTTGTGTAGGTTCATCTTCCCAAATTCTAAACTTTTCAAGGGCTAAGATTTAGTATTATTTATTCTGTATTCCCCAACCTCAGTATGGAGCACAAGCCTTGATTTCACTGAATAAATGCTTGTTTCAGAAATGAATAAAGAACCTAAGGACCATCTTGCAACTTGTAGAAAATGGCACTAAGTATTATAACTCAATCTAGTTGGTTTTGCTGTTATATAGATGTGTGCTATATATTCGAAGTCTTACAATTCCAGTTAAGAACCTGAAATTAGCTCAAACACTAAAGAAAAATAAAAGCAAAATGCACAAAAAGAATGAAACACTAATTGGATTTCTAAAATTTATACCTAATGTGCAGGCAACAAGACATGTTTTCATTGCTATATTTATACAATGGCCAGATGTTAGACGAAATTTAGCTCCATGAGTATTTCAATAAGGAAAGTATTTTAACGAGCGTGGAAAGCTAGAGATATAGATGCCAGCCTGATTTTACATAATTATCTTGCTTGGAAAATGTCCAAAACAATATGCCATCTGAGTTAATTCTTACTATTTTTTAGTTTTTCTATTTCTTCACTCCTCGGGCTTAAGGATACATTGAGGACCCTAAAAAACTGAGTTGAATTGTGCCACCTCAACATGTACAGAAGTCACTGGCATTGATGCTTGCAACCTTTGTGCACAGCACACTGATAGTACATGGCCAGTGCTCAATAACTGTAAGGTGGATGGATGCATGCATGTGTGGATGGATGCATGGATGGATGAAAGAAGCACTCCAATCTGGAAGTATGAAGATAATCTGTGAACAGATGAAAACCAAAGCCTGTATTCCTTCTTCCCTGAAAGCATTGGCCAAGTGTCTGATGGGTAGAAGAAGAATGCATGTATACAAAATATATGTTTGATCTTAAAGGCTCATTGTGAGGTAAGCATTACTATCATTCTTATTTCCAAACGTGAGAAAACCAAGTGTCGAGGTGATTAAACTGCCCAAAATTATGCCTAGTGGTAAAGCAAAAACTGGAACCCACATCCTAATTAATCCCAATCACTGATGTTATTCCCCTAAATCAAAGTTCTCCCATTCATCTATCAGCAAAATTTCCCATTAGACATATTTCCGTAAGTGGCAAGAAATATATTGTAGCCATACGAGGGGAAATCCTGATTAAAATGCCAATAAGAAGCAATAAATTACATACTATAGACCTGGAGTAAGTATTGCAGACCTTAGGAAAGGTCACAAATAGAACGAGGTTGACTGCTGCGACAGCTTTACTTGAGGATAATTTTGATAATTTAGAAAAGTTTTTATTAGCCCTGGGTGGTGTGGCTAAGTGGATTGAATACTGGCCTGTAAACCAAAGGGTCGCCAGTTTGATTCCCAGTCAGAGCACATTCCTGGGTTGTGGGCCAGGTCCCCAGTTGGGGGCATGCAAGAGGCAACCACACATTGATGGCATCTCTCTCCTTCTTTCTCCTTCCCTTCTCCTCTCTCTAAAAATAAATAAATAAATAAATTCTTTTTTAAAAAAGAGTTTTTATTGATTTGTTTAGAATATTATAAAGACTACTGTTTAAGATGTTTCATTGGTCCAGGAAAAAGAGTTGAGAATTAATTGCAAAGTTACTGATAAGAGCTTCGATATTTCAATAGTGATGATGATGATGATGATGATGATGATAATTTCCAGCTATTGAGCACTCACTCTATACTAAATGCATACTTTACACT